TTGTTATCAAATTCGCACTAAAAAATAGCTTTTTGATTATAAAAAAGAATTAGAATTGTATAAAAAGTGAACTTTCATATACAAATTGGTTTGCCCTTTTTTTTTTATAATAAACTGACAGAAAAATAGTAGATTTTTTTAATTCTTAAACGGTTTTACTCTTTCGACTGCTGATAATTGTTTGTGAATTATATTTTACAGATAATATGCTTTAAATATTCTGAGAATTCCTAGGTAGAGAGGCTAAGTAATTTATCCCGTATTTACAAACAGATATTATGTTCGATTGACATTCTTATGGGGTTCTACCTTATGAATAAACAAAATTCCGCTCAAATCAAACAGAATTTACTGAGTCATTTCTTCATTGAATAAATAAAGTTATAATCCAAATTTCTTTTGCCATCAAAGCCATTGGTTTTGAAAAATACTTTGCAGGTAGGATTTAATTTTTAAAGTAACGTGGATTATTAGATTTCTTTATAACATATACAGTTTTATACTTGCCTATTGCTTTGTATCACAATGTTAGACGTTCTCTAAGGACATAAGTTCATTGCTCTGCTGAACCTTTTTAGTGAGATAGAATTGGGTAATATTTTAAAAAAATAACTACATTCATTGGCTTTAAAAACATTTTTAATATTAAAATTTTTATGATTAAATTTGAAAGCAATACGTGGAAATTCCTAGTATCTTCATTGCCTGCTCAAAAGCCTTCTTTATGCACTTTTTTGATTATTACGCCATGTCGTTTTTGTCAACGTCATAATCAACCAATATGTGCATGAAATTTTTTTTGTGTGCCATTTCCATTATCAAGACGCCTAACCCTGTCACACCTGACTGACCCATATGGTTAAACAAAAGTGCCGCCAGATGCAGTGCTTTTGTCACAAAGTTATTACCAAAGGTAGTAATTTTTTTTTTTTAATTATATATTGTTTGAACCATTGATATATTGTTTTTTTTTTCAACAAATTTTATTTCGAAAACTTAAATATGAATATTGCAAACATCAAAAAATGTGTCCATAGAGGCATATAAGCTACTAAAATCTGTTTGTTGACGATAAATTTCTTTTATTAATTATTATGTTCGATGAATAAACCTTTACTTCGTATGGTTTTATTTTATCTGCCTTACACTTTTCACAAAAAATTCGGCTAGTGATGCAGCCGAAAAAATATCAACTTAACGCCAGCTCTATGGGAATACTGCTTGAAGTATAGCAGCTCATTATCAACATACATTGTGACCGAAAAGTTTTCGGAAATTCTCATTTAAAATTCGCGCGCTGTATATTTTTCGATATTTTAAGTTTATGTAGTTTGGCAGCACTGTCTTTAATTACTATGCCAAAAATGAGCGCGATCTGTCAGACAGTTCGTTTACGGCAGCTGTTGAAACCAGTTCACCTCAGTAGTGCGTTGCGAAAAAAAACAATGGAAAAAAATATTGAACAAAGAGTTTGCATCAAATTTTGTGTTTCGAACGAAATTTCGTGTGCAGAATCGTTGCGAATGCTACAAAAGGCTTATGGGGAATCAGTTTTATCGAAAACTCAAGCCAACAATCATCGGAATGGAGAGGAAAAGACGAGCCGAAACCGAAAAAACCACGCCAAAGTCGTCGAAAATCAAGGCAATGCTGATTGTTTTCTTCGATATTCGTGGTGTGGTGCATCATGAATTCGTCCCTGAAGGACAAACAGTCAATAAAGCCTATTATTTGACTGTTTTAAGACGTTTGCGTGAAAATATCCGCCGTAAACGGCCTCAATTGTGGAAGGATAATTCATGGATTTTTCATGACGATAATGCTCCCTCGCACCGAGCCAACATTATCAACGATTTTAAGGCCAAACATTCAATAAATACCATCGAACAGCCCCCGTATTCACCTGATCTTGCACCGTGTGACTTTTTCCTGTTTCCCAAACTCAAATTACCACTCAGAGGAACGCGTTTTGAATCCATAGAAGACGTAAAACAGAATTCGCAGAGGAAACTCAAAGCCATACCGGAAAGCGCCTATAAAAAATGTTTTGATGATTGGAAGAAACGTTGGCATTTGTGTATCGCTTCTAATGGAGCATATTTTGAAGGAGATAAAATAAATATTGATGAAGATTAAGAATTTTGCGTTTTATTTAAAATTTCCGGAAACTTTTCGGTCACAATGTATATAAGACATATGTATATACATCGAATGGTAATGAAAAATGGTAATAAAAAATTTAATATTCTCAAAAAGAAAAATTTCCCAAAGAAGTTTAATAAAAAACATAATAACATAACTTAATAAGACAACAGAAACAAATAAATATATGAAAACAACAATCATATCGCTAAAAAAAAATGTTAGGTATCCTACATATTTAGATTATAAAACGAAAAAAATCTAACTACACACTTAAAGAAGACAGCATATAGAAGACAGTATAAAATAAAATTTTTTCAAATATTAAGACGGCTTGATTGCTGTCTAAGATGCACCAGAATAATGTAGAGATATACTACATATATGGTACTACAAAAAGAATTAGAGAGTTAGAGAGTAGCTGAGCACATTTCGGACGTCAACAAAATAAAAACAAACTACAGCTCTGTCTCAGCATTGTACGGATAAATACTATAATCCAGATTTTGAGAATATAATAATACTTGACAAAGAGAAATCATGGGCTAAGAGTTTTACTATGAAAAACTTATTTATTTTGACGAAAATTAACCGAAAAATTAACATAAAAAAGCACAGAAGATATTAGTGTAAATTGTTTAGTCGCGACAAATTAAAGATAAATAAATATTATGTCCCTTAATTTTCAATGATTGTAATATAAAAATCAATTAAAAAATTACTAAAAAATGTTTTCTTTTTATTGTCAAAAATTATTTTCATTTCATATTTCAAAACAAAACAAAACAAAACAAAATAAAACAAAACAAACAAAAAAAAACCCTTATAAAATTTAAACAAATATGAATATAATTATATATACGTACATTGTTTAAGTGTTAGCACCAAGTTCGACCGCTATTCAATTATTTATATTCAATGAGTGTCGAAAAGAGTATATAGCAGCAAAGATGAATATCAAGCAGGTCAATAATAATATTTTAATGGGAGAATTTTTTGAAAAATCTCCAGACTGCACAAAATCCTATCTAAGAACTCATATGTACATGAGTTACTTAAAAAATTAGTTCCGATTTTGTTTATTAATAGTAGTGAATCGCTAGAATTACTACTAGATACTCTCTTTCTGGGATCCTCTGCTTCGGCAGCTGCATCCTTTGAGCACTTAAGTTTCGCACCGGCTCACTTCAGGAAATTAAACTTACACACATTCAAATGGGCTATTTTCAGTATCAAGCCCCACAAATCGCCAGAACCGGGTAACATACATTCAATTGAGCTCTAAAACTCCTGGGAGAAAATATATGACTACCTCTTGGCTATTTTTGGACATTGTCTTTTAATCATGTTCCAATCTAATGGGTGGAGGTTAGACTTGTTTTTATTCCTAAGACAGATAAAAACTTACATAATAGCCACAATAAACTCCTCCCAACTAGCTTCTCATCTTTTATATTGAAAACTCTTGAAAGAGTAATTAATATTGAAATAAACCGCGATATTAATCTCAATATTTGGTCTCCAACGCAACACGCCTACACTAAGGGAAAATCTATGGTTTCAGCACTTCCTGTTGCTCAGCAACTGACACTACTACCAATATTATTGAGGCAAATATACGTCCATCAACAGCACACATACGGGTAAATAGAGGTACTCAACAAGAGGGTGTACTATCTCCTCTCCTCTGGAACGTAGTGATAAATGAACTACTACAAAAACTATAGAGGATCTAAACTAAACAGCATTTTACGCTTCGCTGAAGTTTTCAACTTCCAGATAACTTCAACTTCTGATGCAATTGTAATAGTAGTTAATGCACTGTTACAATGAGGTGGAATAAGAAAGCGTCAAGTAAGCATTTCAAAACGCATCAGTGAAAGTTAAATAGATGATAATTGGAATTCATTATTGGAATTCATAGTTAAATTCATTCCAGACACGACACCAGAACTAGGGAAGCAAAACGCCATTAGAATGATAATGATATTAAGATCGCGTCTTTTACTTATTTTTCTTAAACTTAGCTTACTTCATATATTATTATTTTTAGAAAAAGTAGACGCAATATACCATATAAAATAAAAGTCAACAATTACATATTTTTAAAATTTAAATTTATAATTGTAATCAATTATATAAATTGAACCAGGCAAATTATATCCATTCAAATCTACATATGTAATATATATGCAAATATGTTAAATGTCGAAAACAGCTTTTGATACCGTTGAGATCAATTTAATATTTTTGTTGAGTATGTTCAGTGTTTCATTTTGATGAAAATAAAATAAAATCGCACGTTTTGAAAGTGATAAATCTAGTTATATAACATGTTTTTATTAACAATTAGGTGGCATTTATTGGAATTTGGCAGCGTTGTATTTTTACTCGGGAAGACAAAGACCCAATAAAAATAGTGGTTAGTAACCTTACCAGCCTTTGCTGTCATCTCACATACGTATGTTAAAATTCCAAATAAAACGACAAGATTGCTGTTCTTTAACGCATACACCTTCTAGTTGAATATTAATACAATACGTGATAATTTGGCGATTGACAGTTTGGACAATTTGTGAAAAATTTTTAGATTAGTGCAATAATGTTTACTAAATCGAATAAAATGTTTTCGAAAAGAATGAGTTTAAAGTTTTGAGTATTCTCAAGCAAGGAGGTTATTCTATTTATATACAATTTCGAAAAATATTTTTAATTTTACAATATAATTTTAGAAAAATTTTCTTGAGTGATTGATTAAGAGATTGAAAGTCTAAGGACTTAACATCATCTTGCTGTTAAGTGTGCACGTATTACTAATTTTTGAACTAATATTTTCTTTTGAGCGAATTAACTAGGAATACTTTGTGGGGTTTTGTGTATTGAAGTTATGGGATTCGCAATGAATTCGAACAAGAGTTTTTGCATAGTTAACGAGTTTCTATTTTATTAGTTAAGCCTTGAAGAAATATATATTAATTGTTTTCCCCATTAGCACTTAAAAGTAATTTTGTGTTCGAGTAGATAAATATTAGCTTTATATTCAAAAGATTGTAGAGTAATAGTGATGTTTTATATGCTTATGGTTTTTTAGAAATGATGAAAATGCATTATGTTCAGCATCGAACCAATTTTCGTCAAAACAATGCTCAAATGAGAATAATAAGCGAGAAGCTTATGGATTACATCAAAAGCCGTTCCTACGATTGCACCCTCCGTCAAAGCCGCCACCATCAATAAAAATATGTTGTGAAACCAAACAACAAATAGCAAATTTAATACCAGTCAATTGTGACATATCAGAAAAGAAACGATACCCTCATGCACTGCAACGGTCAGCTACATTACCGGCTAAAAATAATCGTTTAGGTATTAGAAATCGTGTCACTTTTAAAATTCCGATTCTAGCAGCGCAACCACTATCGGAAAAAAGCACTAACGTAGACATTAACAATTGTAACCCAGATAAACTGAGTATAAATCTTAAAATGACTTCGGAGGACTTGTTACAACCGGGTCATGTTGTTAAGGAGCGTTGGAAGGAAAGTTGTTTTTATAAAAAATATTTATGTTTTTTTTAAAGCATTTTTTTATATCATACAGGTGATACGAAAAATTGGCGGTGGGGGATTTGGTGAAATATATGAAGGGCAAGATCTAATAACTCGAGAACAAGTGGCCCTTAAAGTAGAATCAGCCCGACAGCCAAAACAAGTACTTAAAATGGAAGTAGCGGTATTAAAAAAATTGCAAGGAAAGGAGCATGTTTGTCGATTTATAGGTTGTGGTAGAAATGACCGGTTTAATTATGTTGTTATGCAATTGCAAGGTAAAAATTTAGCAGAATTACGTAGAGCACAGCCTCGAGGTGCTTTTTCATTAAGCACAACTTTAAGGCTTGGTTTACAGATACTGAAAGCAATTGAATCAATACATTCAGTCGGTTTTTTACATCGTGATATAAAACCAGTAAGTTTAACA